ACCTAGAAGTTATTCTTTTTTCTGCCTTTTTCCTCTTCACAGTTATATCTGGAATTTCTAGTTCCTCACAACTACAAAGGGAGTATTTGTGCTCTAAAAGTCTGCATCTTTATTCTGTGCTATGTATCAGGATAGTCTGGAGGAAGCTATGACTCTTTGATTCATAAATATTTCAGATGAAAACCAAAATTCGATGTAAGCAGCATTCAGAGTAAGTTGAATATGTGCCAGATAATATTTCAAACTGATCTAATGCAGTTTCAGCATAACTGTGCACCTTTAAACAATTAAAAAAAAATGTTTTAACTAAAATAAATCATTCTATGATGAAGACTTTTTGTGATGCGTTTCAGCCTGGCAATTATTTTATATATGAAAAGAACCACTTGATCATAAGCAGTGTTTGGTCCCTGCATTTCTGTCACCATCTTACAGTAAAGGACAGTGAAGCTGTGGGCACTGGGTGAGTAACAATAATCAGTTGAGACAAGTTAAAATAATCTCTTGTAGCCTCCCAAACCTTTTTTAATCCACAAACAGGGTCCTAAACAACACCACCAATTCCTGTATGTCACCAGGACCTGCTGATATTTGAGGAATTTCGTCATTTGAGAGGTTTTAAGAACATATTCCTAGAAAGGGCTTTGTTTTAATCATTATAGGAATGAATTCTGAGCAGGTGATGGAAACAGTAGCTGCAGGATGCAACAGAAAGTCTGGCAAATTTGAGATTTTTTTTTTTTTGTAAATGCAGTTATCAAAGACTTAAGAGCTTTCAGTTGTGGCTGTTCTCATGGCACAGCAGATTTATCGTTAGAAATACTTTGTTTTTTTGAGTTTCATCATATTTTTCTGCTTTCCCTTGCCGCAGAGTTTTTGAAATGCAGGAATAGTTTGCACTTCTAGAGTGTAACTGGGACAGGTTCAGACCATCCAGCTTCCCCACAGATATTTTTGATGACAGAAAACAAAGAGAACTTTGTGTCTCAGCTTCAAAACATGCAAACTGAGGTGTGAGAAGATTTTTGACTACAAATGCAAGAAGCAAGTAAAGAGAAAGATGAGAGGGAATTGAAATGCCATGAAAAGCACCTATTGTAAAATTTGAGCTGGAAAGAAGAAGTTTGCTGTAATAATTAGGAATCAGGCCTGTCCTTAGGGACTCTGGAAAGAGCATAATGGGGACAAAAGATCCTTGCAAACCCTGTTATGGAATAGGAACATTTCTGTTGAAATTTGGGAATAGCACTCGGGTGTGAAGGGAGGGGTTTTTGATGGCCTGGTTGTGTGGAATTTGGAGTTAAAAGAATGGAGAGTTTTAGCTCATGTCTTGGTATCCAATTCATTTTAAACCATCATATTTCCAATGGTATTTTTTTACTTTATTGACTGAAATCTCAGTGAGGGTATTGAAGGGAGAACTGAACTTCAGCCCAAATGTCCATCTCAAGCTTTGCCACCTGCCACTGGAATGTGCCAAAACCTCCTTACCTGGCCTGCTGCAGGAAAATGGCCTTGGCAAAGGAACACATCCCAAAATAATGAGCTTTAATGTCAGTTCCCTGCAAGCCCAATTCTGCCTTTCGAGAAAATCTAGGAAGCTGGTCCAAGGCTCCTCCCTGTGATTAGGCTGATTTGCATCCTCAGAAGTGAGGGATGGAAGGGAATGTGTTGGAAATAAAAGCCCCTTAAGTAGTTTGATTGATTTGTTTTTCGTATTTAGAGAAAAATTAGGCTCTGTCTTTAAGACCCCAGCATTTCCTTTTGCCATCCTAAAGTGATTTTTAAATGGACTTGCCCGTTTAAACAATGCAGACCGAACATGGCTATTGAGAACACTGGAATTTATCAAGCCTAAATAAGACAATTTTCTGTAGAACTGATTCTATATGGGTTAAACAAGATGAGTAGATGAGGCAGAGTGAGCCCACTGGAACAACAGAATGTGCTGGATGTGTTTTGTGGGAATATTGGGATAACGGGCAACTTAATATTTTTTATTATCGTGTGCCCTGTGGGACACATTTCACCCTGAAATATGGAGAGGACTTTTGTGGCTTGCACTCAAACTCTTCCTGAAGCTGAAGCCCTGCATCTGCCTGGGCACTCCTTCCTTGGGGTGGGCTGTTTGGGGCACTCATGGGTCACAGGTGGAAAAGGTGATAACCTTGGCTGCCTAAAGCTCTCTACATACCCTTAACATCCAATTACTGAGGAGTGAAAAAGCACCTTATCCAGAGGGGTGAGATGCATTTCCTCTGGCCAAAAGGTGAACAGTTGATAAAATTCCTTTCATGCAGTGAAATCTCCTCATTGCTTGGATTCAGAGACTCTCACAAAGAAAATGTAATAGGGTTTAATTTACCTGGACTTTGGTTGGTACTGTGCTTGAAACCATTTCAAATATGTGAGCTCAACTTATTTTTAAGCAGCTTTTTTACTCCCCATATATATGAGAAGATAATCAGGAAAGTTCACTGTAAGGGTGAGTGCTACAAAGAACACAAGCTTGAGATTTCTGTCTATAAAGGTGCCAAGGGCATGATTTTACCCACACCAGCACAGTGAGCATTGAACAAATATTGACAAACATTGGATTTACAGGCTTTCCTGTAATTTCTTTCAAAATCATATTGACTGTGATGAGAGTTGAGCTGTGGCAGTAGGATTGTTCTTATATTCTGTCCTAGTTGAATTTTTTCAAGTTTGCTAATTTGGGGGGATTAGAATTCTGTGGTATTTAATTGTTGCTGTATCACCTGGATCATCTTCCTCAGAGGGCTAAGTTTCTTAGAAATAAATTCTTTGCCATCTCTGACAACACAGACTATGAACCATTAACTCCTAGCAATGCTACAAGTATCTGTACACGTTAAAAATAGACTCTAAAATAACCCCCTACTATCCTGAAATTTCTTAGTTCGTACCCACTGTATTTTGTTTTTATATTTCCCTTCTGCAGCTCCTGTAAAATCAATCTGACAGATGCTAACACAGACCTGAGGTTCATTAGAAGGTCATTAATTATCCTTAAGGGATGTTTATGGGTAGCAGCACTGTGTATTTTGGGCTCTCAAGACAAACTGACCAAATGGCTTCTCTGTAAACACTCAGCAACTGAGGCAGGCTAATGACAAAATTCTGTGCCTGGCATCCCTCTAAATCCAACACAAAATCTACTGCAAGAAAGAGGTTAGTGAAGGTGTCTCTGGTGATCATCACGTTGAGTCTCAAATGGAACTCGTGATTTAGATATCAGAGCAGTTATAAACACTCCATGGCATTTTTCATTAATTAACTTATGAATAAAGGTTTCTATATAAATAGTATTTTATATAAATAGAGTTACTGGGCTTTCAGGTGGAGGGTTGAGAGTGGGCAGTCCTGAGCAGGGAGCTCTCCCTCAGCCTCAGTCCTGTGTTTCCTTGCTGCTCTTCATTCGTGTTCTGTTGATGCTCCAGCTGCCTGATTAGCTTTTGGTTTAGCTCTGTATTACACCTGGCACTGCTCAAATTGCAAGGAAAAATTACATTAATTTAGCAGTGCTATATTTCAGTGAACCTACTCTTCCAAATATTATTGTATGCAACGAGATTGATCCCAGGGAGTTAATATTTTAAAAGTGCAAAAGGTCAAGCAGGTCTTGTTTATGATTCAAGGCCACATCTGACAGTCAGTTTTCCTGCTGTTTGCACCCATCAGTCCAAATGATCTTTATGATCTGCTAACTGAAAAAATACCCTCCAGAGTTATGCCAGAGAGGAGAGTATAAAGGTGGCTCTACAGAAATTCTCTGGGCTTTTACCTTAGGCAGTAATTCCTACAATGCCTCTCACCCAGCCCTTTGCTGAAGTTATAATTGTCTATGTAGTGCATTAATAGCAACTTTAAAAGTCTCTGTGTAGCTTCACTCTCAGCCATCTGCTGAGCTCTGCTTTCCCTCGAGTGCTCTACAAGTTGCGTTGCTAAGATATAAAAATGACTAAAATTGAAATGATTTGCCGAAGCTCTTTTTTCTAAAATATTTAACTGTGGTAGCAGCGAGAAAACAGCAAAACCATGAACAATAATCTTTACTTTGGACCTGTGCTGCAGAGCTGCAGTTACTGGGATGAGCACTGTTTCCTTGGGTGTGCAAGGCAGATTTGGTGTCAGGTGGCTGCCTTTTGTCAGTAAAGGCTTGTGGAGGTGGGTCCAAAAACCAGTCTGCATTTTAAAGTGGATTCATACGAATTTCTACAAATACAGGTGCCAGGCTCAGAATAATTTTTCACCTGTGAGCTTTCTGCTAAAATATTTACTCCATGTCTAAAAGCCCATTTATTATAATACGGCTCTGTAATGCATAAAGGGTTGCTTGTAGACTATGCATGGAATAAAAAAGCAGAGACCTATATATTCTGTGTTCTTATTGCTGGCTTGCTCTGGATCACACATGTGTAAAAGCAGTCAAAAAGGGGCTGATTTTACAGTGCATTACCTCCAAACAGTCTGCTTAAAAGAAGATAAAAAAAAGAAAGAAGGGGGTTGTTCAACCATTGTTTGCTGATTGTAAGACACAGCACTACAAAAGCTTGCTTCTGCTTTTCTCTATTCCCTCTGATCTGAACACTCTCAGGGTCAGTAACAAACATAACATAAAAGTTCTTGGAAATAGTGTGTCTTTTTCCCCTGGAGAAACTTTCACTTGTAAATCCATTTCTTTCAAAGACAGGTGTTTGCAAGTGATTCTGCTTGAGTGTTTCATTAGTATGTCATCAATATGTTAAATTTTAATGTGAATATCACTAAATGAGAACTGTACATGTCTTTTTTCTATGAAGATATATTCTGCTAAGGAAAAGTTGAACTTAGAGTCAAAAAAACCCCAAAGTCTCTCTGCATTCGGATTTTGTGTGACCTGAATTTTTGTACTGGGCATAGGTCTAGCAGGTTTATTTTCTTTAGAAGGCTTTGCAAGTGCAAGATTGTAGCAGTCAGAATGTCAGGACAGTGCTTACCGTGGAGGTGGGTCAGGATACATGATGCTGACCTGAGAAAGTATATCCAGATAGGAACCAAAGTCACAAGCCTGGGGAAACTCCTCGCTGCAGGTGGATCTCAGCTCTCCAGAAGAGCCACCGTGAGAGAAGCCATCTGGAGCTGGAAAACAAGCAATTAGTATTTGCTGCTCTTTTCTCCAGTGCTTCATTCCCTCTCACTGTTTTCTAACACTGCCATGAATTTTTTGCTTTTGTATAAACATTTATCCTGGTAAGGGAATGACATCTCCCTTTTGGGAATAAAATTTAAAGCCCAAAAGAAACGAAATGCAAAGCAGTGTTTGCTGAAGGGGCTGCTGAAGTTGCCAGGGGTTGCAGGCATGGGAACCCTGACCATTCCATGAGGGCTTTCAAAGGATTTGTAGCTATGTGTCTTGAGAAAATGCTGTTCTCAATAAAAAACACTGACAAAACCAGTAAAAGCTGGAAATTAGTAGAGAAAATTCATCCTGCTGTTGCTCCAGGGCTTTCCTGTGGCTTCTACACTAGAGCTTCACAGCTCCAACTAACAACACTCAAACAAGCCTAACACAGAAAACAGCACTGACTTCTTAGGATTTATGGGGCAGCTTCACACTTGGGTAGTGTGGCACAATTTAGTTTCAGATTATTATTTTGAAATATCTCTGAAAAGATGCTTTCCTTTTTCCATTTATCCAGCACTGTTATTTCTAGCAAGCAGTTTGAAAATTGCCCTGTAAATTTTTGCCTAGTTTCAGGGTTTATTGAAACTGAAATTTATTAGACTGGTAGACTTAAAGGTAGTGATTTAATCTTAATGGTCAGTATTTTATCATGCCAAAATATTGCTGTTCATGGGTGAAGCAGTAACCCCAATTTAACCATTTTAATCCTGCTGAAAATCAGGAACAATGGATGTTACCGGAATAGTAGACATTACTTTTCTGGATTTTGATTTTTTCATTTTTCCCTCTGTAATTGTCTATGGGAGTTTGCATTTCGCTTATTTTGGATTCTAAATTTCATTCCCAAAACAGAGAGTTTGATCCCTTATCTGGATAAATGTTTCTGGAAAAGCCAAAAATAGCTATTCCCAGCTCCAAGTGGACAAACTGTGGGTAGGAAATGTGTCCATTTAGACATAAAAATTCCTGGTCCAAATAATTAAATGAAGTCCAATTGATGCACCTCAGAAAACAAGATTTAAGATAATGCGTTTTTATCTTACTCTCTATTATTGTCTTTTCTGTATAAACACCAAAACAACATGCAAAGAACTGCACTCACAACAAACAGCAGGAAGAGGAGTCTGGCCACAGAGGATGTAATTGTTGGTGTTCCACCATTTATAATATGAATTTTTAAAATCTGGACTTACAAAGTAACTTTGTAACTGTTTGTTCCCCCCACCCCTTTCCCCTCTAAAGAGAGATAATCTGATTCTGTCATTTCCTTGACAAAATGGCTCTTAGCTTCTGGTCAGCAAACCCAGAAGGGGTCAAAAATATAACTCTACAATTAACTTCTTGATAGTCCCAAAATTTCTGAAAGTTTTTTGTAGGTGTTTGTTTTTGTTTGTTTGGGTAGCTGGGGTTTTTTTGTTTGTTTTGGGGTTTCCTGGGGGTAGGGAGCAGGATTTGGCACCTTTTTGACTCTGTAATGACGATGACCACTGTATGATGATGACCATGGTAATGACATTTATGTCATCAACTATGCTGCTTGCAACGCCATTTTGGTGCCCTGCTTTTCTGTTTATATCCAGTGATCAATTTTCGCGGTCAGAAAAACAACATTTCCCCAGTCACTGATGTGGGTTGATGCACGAACTGAAAACAGTTCTGGCTTTCCAACAGGTAGAAATGACATCACATGCTACACCCAGGGGTGTGAAAATGCATCAGAGAAGAACTCTTCTACCGTATCAAGGGGGAATCTGTTCAGGACCTGCTGTGGGCACCAGCCTGGGTCATGTTAACCATGAGCTGTGGGAGCGCAGTCCCAGCACCATTACACTGCTGCCCGTGACCTACAGACCCTGCTTTTTACAGTGTTTATTTCGCTGTCACTCACCGTAGCCAGGCTCTGTCCGCGGCTGGGGGTCCTTCCTCAGGCTGCCCACCACGATGGTGGCGCAGGACAGGGACAGCACCAGCCCGATCACCACCCCTGCCACCAGCAGCGGGGACACCAGCAGGCTGCTGTCACCGCCCGCCTCTTCGGGGCCGGGCAGCTCGCTGCTTGCCGTGCTCTGGTTCAGGGGAGCTGCTGGGCAGAGAAAAGGGCGGTGACAGCGGGGGGAGAGCGATTTACACCCCGTGCCCGAGCCCGGGGCTCCCACAGCCCCACAGAGCCCGGGGCGCTCCCGCTGCAGGAGCTCATGATCCGGGAAAACCTGTGGATGAAACTGGGCTGTCAGGAGCTGTCGGGGTCCCTGTTAGTGGAGAATATCCTGCTGGAGCCAGTGGAGCATGGCCCATAATTTTTATGGCTTCTCCCTGGCAAAATTCCCTGTACCTTGAGCTGAACGATGCTGAAAGAGCTTAAGTGCACAAGGGGGAATGTGCAGATCCCAGAATTTGAGCTCCGAGCAGGACAGAGGAATTGCACGTTGTTAAAGGTGGGAACAAAACTCCAAAAAATATATAAATGAATTATTTCAATTTAATAATAAATCTGCTTAAGGGAGAATAGCTCCAGTAATTTACACCCGAGTCAAATATCCTTTTGAGACAAGCTACAGAGAGAGTACCAGAAGTTAAACTGGAAGTTTCCCTTAGAGAATCAACCAGTGATGTATGTGAATTAGTTGCCCACAGATGTATTTATGGGGATTGCAGTGCTAAGAGAGAGGAGGTAAATGGTAGAAATTATGTGAAAAACAAATCAGGATCTAAGCAGATAAAATGTCCCCCCACACCTCTCCCAAATTAAAAAGAAATCTCCCAATTGCTGCTCAGGATCAGGCAACCAGACTTATTGATGCATAAATTCCTGGAGGTGCCTGTGAACCAAGACTGGCTGTCGAGTATGGCCTGGATATACTTTTGTGTCTGGCTTTATGTCATTTGAACAGATAAAGAATTTGTTTCTTACAGAAACCAAACACAAAACATTTTTTTCTCTCTTGAATATTCTGTGAATATGTGGTTTAGGAAGTGCAAGTGTTTTTGACGTGGACAGGTGTCAGCAGGTAGTTTTCAGTCAAAGTTTTCTCCACTCTTTTCCTTTGGGAGACACCACTTGGTGTGTTGCAGTCCCAAGAAGTTAAAAAGAAGACAGTGGCTTCAAGCCAGTGTGTGTTATCATTGGCTGATGCTTGAGCTTGAAAGAATCAATTAGAAGTATAAAAAAAGTAGACTTAAAATATAGTGGAGTTTTTCTTATTTTTCTAGATTTTTTCTATTTTTTTTTTTTTTAAAATTTTCTTAATTTTGACCAATGGCTGAGGAAGTTTATAAGCAATTAAGACACATAGCCAAGAAATGTGCTGAGCTTTTACCAAGTATTTTATACCAAAAGAGAAAACTAAGTTTGTTGAAAATTAACTGATGCTGTAGCATTAAATCAAAAGGCTATGGACAACCGAGCTCCTTAATAGTCTCAGTGCAAAGAGATTTGGGATGTGGGATATGTTTGAGGGGGAGATTCTGCTGGTCTTATGGCTCTTGAGCTAGAACTAAACTTCCTCAAACTTTACAAAATTCTGACCATGCTACTCCTTTGTACATTTTTCAGCTTGGTAATGTCCAAAAGTGTGCATTCCTGCTGGCTTTCCAAAGCCTTGTTTATTCAAATTTTTGCAAATTCCCTCTTTGAAAGATGCAAGTGTCACAGCAGTGACAATTTAAATCCCAGTGGTGAGGGGTTGACCTCTGAACTGAAAGTTCAGGTAATTTATGGCAGGTAATTTATTGGAACTTTGACTGTCTTGCAAAGGTGAAGTAAAGATCGACTTTGTCACCAGCATGCTGAGAAATGAGCCTGGGGTGGGAGGTGTCCCCCTGCACTGTCATTTCAGTTTGAAGTCCTGTCAGGTGGCAAAGAAAAAAGAGGCTTCAGTGAGGAAATGGATGCAGTGAGTGCTCTCAGATCTTTTAAAACCTGGGACAGATCCTAAATGGTCCTGTAGAAGGGAAGAGGGGCTGTCTAAGGAAAAGAAGAGTAGACTAGATGGGGTTCTCCAGTTGTGTTGGAGGCCAGCTGGTATCTTAACTCTTTGACTCTTTGGGAGATTCCTGTGGTGCCACCCAGTGTGAGCCCTGATATTTGGACCTGTTTTACTTTATAGCAAGAGCTGTAATGCTCAGTGACTTCATATAGCAAGTCCTCTGTCCTGTGCTCTGCACTGGTACTGGAGGTGCTGTGCTTTATCTTAAGACAGATCATTTATCTACCACATTCTCAGGGCTTCCTCAGCTATTTTCTCTCTTGCTTCTCACCACCATGAATCTTGCTGGGGTTTTTGTGCTTTTAATCTAACTGAACTCAGTCTTTTGCAAAGAGAAGATGTATTACAATATTGCTTTATTAGAAGGAATGAATAAGTCCCCTTAGCCCAGCTTCTGACAAAATATGTACTTGATAAACATCTCCTAAGGCACCATTTTCAGTGTGAGGCTGTGAGTCCTGTCCTCCAGACTTTGCACACTGACTTACTACTGTGTGACAAACAACCACAGAAGGAAAGGCTGTGTTGAGGTAGATTCTTTGGGTTTGAATTTTTGGGGGGCAAAAGAGGTTTATATTAATTTTGGCAAAAGAACATGTTAATACATTTTTCTTCTTTTATCCAAATACATCTTCTTTTGATAAGCTGTACATTCTGTATATAAAAATGCTATGATTTTTTCTTTCAGAATACAAGTATATTCTGAAAATGTATATTGAAGCCCACAAATACAACACACAGGAGGCCCAGGAGGCTGTTTAATTCTCACACTGCTCTCACACGCAGTTCTGCTGTTCTGTAGGCTTTTCTGATTTCCACACAGAAAATTAAACTGCTTCTTAAGTTACAGTTGATATTCAATATTAACTCTGTAGGGATTGCTTCAAACTTTTACCTCAGTGGGGCTTATCTCTTGGAAAGGTACTTGGTAGTTATTTGACAAAGTTGATGAATAAATAAATTTTTGCTGTCAGTTGCTGCATCAGTGACATTTTAACAGTTCCCCAAAACAGATGATATTAATTATTATCTCTAAATTTGCAGTAAAATCTTCCTATATAAATGGGTAACTAGTCTTGTCTGATAATTGCTCTTGTGGGAGATACTTCAGCATAAGCCAAACCCACATGAATTCAGTTAACCAGGCAGGACCCAGGAATGCAGACCAAGTTTCTCTGCAGCTCACGTTGTCTCTCTGATCTTTTTCACTGCCTATTTATGTCCTAATCAGAATTAAATATTTTCACTGATTAATAGTAGAAAATCAAAACCTTATTCAGACTGAGACTGTGTCCTAGGGTGATTCAGCTTTATGCCTGCTGCTTAAAGTGAATTTGGAACACACTTGCAGGTACAGAAGCTGCCCATGACACTGAGAAGCTCCTCCGAGGCAGAAAGGGTGGCCTCTCCTGTGAGGTGGCTGCCTCTGCCTTTTATCATGTCTGCTGGCTGTCAGATAATGACTTTTTCTCTTCTTGCACTGACATCCTTATTATAGAGCCAGAATGAGCAAGATTGGATCACCAGCAGCCTGCAAATTGAGAACGTCAGAAGCAAAGAGAATGGGGCTGCACAAGGGCTCAGGAAATAAATCTTTTCAGATGGGGTGGTTTAGGGTATTATGTTGATGTCACAGCAGCTTCTTTGGCTGCTGTTTCAAATTAACAGGAAAAATCTTCCAATTTTCATATCCATTGGCTATTTTATCAACACTGATGAATAGCACTGCAGTGAAACAAATCACTCTGGAGGTACAACAGCCCACTTTCTGATGGACAAGATACTTTCCCCCCTATTTTCTCATATTCCAAGTACGTTGAACTAATACAGTTTTATAAGCAGAACTCAAACCCATTTCTTTCCTAAGGAACTCTGTATTAAGCCTTGGAAATAAGAATGATGAGCATCCTCTTTTACCCATTAAAGTAACTCAGATCCAACTCAGGGTGGTAGTGACTTGACCAGGACAAAAGCAATATATTTTTTCTTTTATTGTGAGAAACTCTTTTTTTTTTGGCACATAAGTTTCTCATATAAAATTTTGGAAAAAAAAATAGTAGTGAAAATAATTTTTCTTAATATTTTTTTTAAAAAATCTAATTGGTGAATAATTGTGTATTTTACCTTGGCAGTGTGTCTGCTTGAACTGTGATCTTGATTTCTCATGTCTTTAGGAGGCTGAGCTCTGTCTGAACTGTATCTAATGTTTACTCTCATGGAATGTGGAGCCCAGGTAGAAACACAATCTGTACTGGGGGAGGTGGGGAAAAAACTCCAAAAACAAACCCCCCCCAAACCTTCCACTGAAAAGTTCCTTCCTTACAAACTTTCCTGCAGAGAGAAGATGAGAAGAAGATGAGAAGAAGATGAGGGATGAAACTCTTGCTGGCTCAAACAGTCACAGCCAGAGCAGCTGACTTGTGCTCAGTTGTCCCCTATATGTATTTATGAGCCTGTTAATCAGTTATCCACTTCTGATGACTATAACATTGGCTCAGATTTATGAGGCTTTGTAAATGATGAAGTTTTGTGTTGTCCTGGAGTTGCACTGAAGTGTCCAGTGGGCTCTGTCAGCCATCACTTTCAGCAATCCTTACCCTGCTCACATGGTTTGAAACTCTGGAAAAGAGCTGGTGAACAAATCAAATCAGCTGCAACTCAATTCTGAGCTTGAACTGAGGGTCAGGAGCCAGGACCACCTTACACACACACCTCCAGCACTCCTTCTTGAGTGCTTGTGGCTATTTAGGACCCTTCTATTAAAATTAATCCTGTTTCTTTTTCCAGCCTCCTCAACACTCTCCAATACTGAGAAAGTTCTTAGAGGAATGAGTGAAGTTAGTGCTTAGGGAACACTGACAACTCAAGTACTGATGTAACTGGTTGTGTGAGGCATGGGCTGCTAAGATAGAAAACTGGTAAATACTGCAATCCTCAGACCTTCCTTTAACAGCTGGGATCATAGGTGATATATCTGGGGCTTTCTTTGGAGGTGATGTGAACTTTTTAAACAATTAAAATGGTTTGCAGTGCTGCTCTGCACTCCCACAGGAATTATGGGGTTGACGTTGCAGAGCACGCCAAGCCTGGAGCA